ATTTAATAAATGTTAAATTAAACTGCATATTTTTAATAAATGTTAAATTAAACTGCATAATATTTAATAAATGTTAAATTAAACTGCATAATTTTTAATAAATGTTAAATTAAACTGCATAATATTTAATAAATGTTAAATTAAACTGCATAATTTTTAATAAATGTTAAATTAAACTGCATAATTTTTAATAAATGTTAAATTAAACTGCATAATTTTTAATAAATGTTAAATTAAACTGCATATTTTTTTTATTTTCTGGGACAGGAAGCAAAACATTATTTTGGTCTTATATGTTTTAAATAACTGGAATTTTTCACTCTAGATTTTAGCCTAGCTAGATATAAATGCCACTGAGCCTTCTCTTGATGACTTACTGTGCAGTCTCAGAGTACCAAGGTTGGTTTGTTCTAAGTACTGTAGTTGGTAAAAAGAACTTCTTAGGATCATCTTTTTCCTGTGGATCATCACCACCTATGCTACCACAGTATCCTGGAATTTGGTCCACTTTCCTACTATGGCTGCAGCTGTAAGTTAAAATATGTTTATTGTTAGAAATTAACTTCTAGAAACTTAGGGTGGGAAGATAGTAGAAAAAATGTGCAAATTAATTTTTAAACTTTACTTAATTTTGAATTTGTTTTCCGCTAATATGTTTGGGATTTTGTGAAATTGCTCAAAGCATCAATGACGTAAAATTAATGTCAGTAAAAATTATCTGTTGTACAGTATTGTACTGTATTTTTATTGAAACATAAAATAAACCTTTAAAATAATATGCTTGATAAAACTCACAATTCTATTGGTTTCTGTAAATGATAGCCATTTCTTAATTGGAACCAGTCCCAAGACCTGCCTAAATTCTGAAATAAAAATAAATATCATTAATACAAGTTTAGAATTCTTGCATGACAATTTAACAAATTACAAAATTTGTATTTGTTGATATTTATTATGGCTACAAAGAGCCTCAAAATTATTTTAAAAGTATTGTGTCAATAATAATGTTTTTTATAGTCAGTATAATTTCATGGGTTTCTCATAATTGAATTGTCATATATTTGTGTGAAAACATTTACTCCTAGCATGAAGGTATTATACCTCCATGCCCCTAGTATCTTCTAATCTTTATGGACTGGATACAACTTTTGTGGCATGAGGTCTGTGATGGAAGCACCCAAGCTTGCAAGAGTATGTAAGCTATCCAACTGACGGCAGCAAAAGCTGTTTCCAGTCCATAAAGTTTTTAACATAAACTTTAAGGGTGTAATTACAATTTTACCATGGTATGTTCTCAAACACATGACGTAATTTAGAATTGACGCATTTTGTATGATGAAAGCCAGGCCAGCCGGGTGTGATACAGGAATTTTTTTTGTCCTGATGTGAGGGCGCACTTCCCATAGCGTTAAAGGGCTGGGCAATATGAGGTACATGGGTACATTAGCATTGTCAACTTTTTGTCAAAATCAATGTTTGATTCTATGTAGACTCAATAACCATAGTACCAGGAAGGATGCACCAAATTAAAATTAGTCTATAATGTGTATGTCGATTTTGTTTTGTAAACATGCTTCCCTCCATAAAATGGTAAAACATGTTGATATGCTCAACTTATTATTTTACATTAATTGAAATATTAATTTTTGATCAATGTCTGTGTTAGCAAAATTCAAAAAAGATACAAATTAGCAAAAGTTTTCCAAGTTATCAATAATTAAAAACATTAGTTGAATTTCAATTTTCACTTAGATGTTGAAGATCATTAACTTTTATCAAATGTCTCATGTTAAGGAAAGTTGTAGCAGGAAACATTATCTTAGTTGACCTTTGACCTTCCAATTATGAAGTCATGAATATTTATGGCATAAAAATTGAATGTTTTCACAGTTTTACAGTTCATACATGTAATTTTTTTTTTTGCAACAGGTCATTACCCCTAATTGGAAATGGAATCAACCGTAACAGGTCAAATTTCTTGATACCTATCGCTTTCATGTAGAGTCTCGCTGGGGTGGAATTATCATTACATGATTGTCAGACAATAATAAAGGTCTCTTAGATACGCAGCAATAATAAACATGATAATGTATCACAAACGCACCTGCCACGGTTCTGCTTCAGCTGCATATCGTTTGTTAATCGTAAACCGATGAGACACCATATCTGGTTGACGTTCTAATGTTGCCTGTGGTGGTTTCACTTTTGGTGCCAGCATCGAGTCCCAGTCAACATCGTCATAAGCCCTGTAAGATTTTTTTTCAATAATTATTTATTACCAGTTCTTAATAAAAAGTGTGTTATAATATTGTCGCTGTAATAAAATGATAAACAACCAGACATAATTTTCATATAATATAGACTAATAATTCTTTGAGAAATAATAATTTCAAATGCTTAGATAAACCTATACAAGACTGTACATTTCTTTTCAATTTCAATCAATACAGCATTATGAAATAACATTGAAAACTATAAAAGAAATTTTAAAGACACAAAAGAGAAAGTCTTTGCGAACAAAAAACATTATTTCATAGTTACAGACATAAAGTACATAACAGATAATGACCATTCTAATTATCTGTGGTTTTTACTCAAAAGAAAATGCCATGGATACTATTCAAAACATAATTTAGATGATGATATAGAAATCTCAAATTTTCAAACATCATCATTTCTAGGTATAAATAATCAGTGTTTTTATTCTAAGTACAAATGCTATATGTTGATCATATCAGTAGATGTAGTAATTATTTTAGCCAATTATTTTTCGTTTATTTTTTTATACACATATCCATTTGGATACACATATCCAAAAATGATCTTTGTGATACAGAATGAGTAAAAGCATTTTTCAGGTCATTTGACCTATACACTTGTTCATTAAGAGCACACAAACAGCCACATCTAATTTTCTTGTTTTTACATGGATTAAAAATATATGAACAAATCTACAGAAATAACAATAACACCACCACTATTCAGGGTAGACATTTATTCCTGACATATATTTTATCTACATCACTGTAAGGTAAAAATCAGAGGAGGAATCATATGTGTGGGGACCTTTTTTTGAATGGAGAGTATTTTCCATCATTACCCATCATGTTGTGTTAGGAGTGACATCCAGTGTACATGTTTAAAGTTGTGTTGTCTCTTATTTTAATTGGAAGGCCTTTGAAAATGTGTCAATTTGCTACATCAACCAATTAAAACAAGTGCGGCATTCGCGAGAAATCGATGCTCAGAGCCTAAGTCATTTTTAGTCTGAGACTATAAATCCCATGATGCAATGCTGCTTAGTGCGCTGCTTCGGGTGAGTGCGCAGTCATGCGAACCAAGGAAGTACTACAATTTGCTGTCGGCCATTGTATTGTGCACGTCTTACAGGAAAATATAATCTGATTTGAAGTTCGCGTGCAACTGTAATAATGAAGAGAGGCAGGCCACCAGTTAATATAACTGATTCGGCAAAGAAAAGACGTGAAATCCAAATAAACAACCGACAAAGTCGAGTGCAAATTGGGAATCAATTTTATCGATGGAAGTCGTTACGGCTTTAGCTTGCAAGCCAGGGAAGGGGATGTCATTTTATCCCTTAGATATTCAGATATGATCAACAAACGTACTGCTGAAAACAGTTTCAAAATAACTGAAATGAATGTGTTGGAGGATGACAGATTACACTTTAAAGTCATTCAAAATATTTAAAATAAGATATGGTGAAAATGATGTACATACAGTCGCTTTAGCAATGAAAAATGTGGGGGGGGGGGTATACATACTTCATTTACTTCATGGGTAGTGCATTATAGATTATTTATAATACCATTTACAGTATATAGATACATTTTATGAGACAAATATAGTAATTGCAGTAGTCTGTTTGGTATTCAGCAAATATTAATAAAATATATGCTTGCCATATTAGGTATTAAACACTTTGAGTCAGTCACTGGAAACATAGTAGCAACTTGCACAATAAATCAATAATTTTATAGTTGCACCATGTCTAATTTATGGTCTGATGACTTTTCTTTCATTAGTAGTCATAGAAACCCTTTTATTATATCACCAAGAATAAGAATGTTGCAGAAATATCACAAAAGTTAATTTATTACCATGACAACAGCATTTTACGCATTACAATAAATTTCACAATGAATAATTTACTATCGACTATGGTAGCCATTTGGTGAAACCAATATTACAATAAACACAAACAGTGTTTAACAGATATTGTTTTATCCTGGCATTTAACAAGCAGAACAGTTAGCTATACAATAATTTTAAGAAGACTAAGGTCCCATTTATCATCTTCACAGAACCTAATTAAAAATTTACTACTAGTCATGGATGCAATAACTGCTGCCAATATTGACTTTATAACAAAACAAATTATTTGCTTTTAAACCAGGTGTCTGGCATGAGAGCCAAACTACTGCATGTGGGTCATGCATTGCTCTATCCTGGTCACAAATACAATATATATACAATTAGCATGAAGACTAACTCACCTCTGAGTGGATGATGTATACCTATATCTTAAAGCTAGTTTGTTCCTCCAGTCCTGGCCATCCTCTTGTAGTGACTGGCTTAATACATTTCTCTGAAAGGAAGATAGATTTGTATGTGACCAACAGCTTTAAGAATTCTGGATCAATTTGAAGATTACAGTATTTGCTCTATTACTGGTAGTGGTGCATCTGCCTTATAGATATTTTAATGTAATTTAAATAAATAAAAAACATAAATTCATAGACATGGGCAAGGTGTAAAATGTAATCAGCTATTTTATTCGTCCATAATTTGTACAAAGCTATTAATTTTTGTAAGCGTGTAAAACATTTTCCTAATCAAATGTCGTAATTTCAAATATTGATTCTTAAACTCAAACTATCCAAAATATTATAAAAACGTAAATTGTAATTATGAATTTGCTTTATCTGTAAAGTGTAAAAATCTATTTCTTTACTATAATTGGAATTTTCATTTTATTTCCTGTCAAAATGTAAAATGCTGTTTTTATTTCTTGTAACTTGTACCAGCTACCCCCCCCCCCCATAGAAAGTACTGTTCTCACTAATTACTGTGAAACCATTTACTATTTTTATGTTTTGACCTATTTTAAGTTCATGAATTTGCCATGATAACAATGGGTCCTACCTTCATTTTACATGTTCATAGGAATTATATTCATCGGATTTTACTTTATCAGTGAAAATAGTGAAATAACATCCATTTACAAACAAATTAATCCATTTACAGTATTTAGACTGAAAGTTAGACTGAAACATTTAGAATGCTAGAATTATGTACAAATAACGTCTCTATGACATCTTGATGACTGACAATCAAACATTCACTTTTACAGACACCGCTCTCCCCCCTTAAAATAGTTTGTACGTGCAATGTAATAAAACACTCCTTTTTGAACACTAATATACACATCAACAATTGAAGTGTGTTGAACCTGTTGCAGCCTTTACAAAGATGTCAGACTTAATCAGGATCACCCTCATTCAATCATGCACAATAAATGTCTTCTTTTGATAGTGCATTATTCATACGTAATGACCTGTACTGTACGTAATAATGCCACATAATATCACTGTGTATACCAAGTAGGCGTTATAATGTAAAAGTTACAGCAACAGCTGTACTTTGATAGTGCATTATGGGAAAAAAAAACGCAGATCTTATATTAAGCAGCTTACAGAATAATAACATATTAAAATGAAATATTGAAACTGGTGTGCATTTTTGTTTCTCATATGAATAATTGTTGGCATGCAAGCAGGTTAAGTGCCAGTGGCGAAAAACTCAAATATTATGGTGTTACCCTAACTTACAGATACAAATGTACAAAAAGGAACAAATTTCAATTCCATTGTTATTTGTCTCCAAGACTGAGTTTGAGGTGATGAAAAAAAATGTTGAATGATGAATAACTTATTTTTATTAAAAAGGGGTTTTAAGTTTAATTAATATGTACTCTATGTTAATGTTTTTACAAGTAAGTACCAATCCACAAAGGGAAACAAGCACCATGGTTTTGTCACCTTTGAAATCAACACAGATGCCTTTATTTCAAAATAATGACACATTGAACATGAACATGGTAG